AGTGTGGATGCTCAATAATACCACCAGCCCTTCCATGGTCATTATCCATATTTCAGTACTTATTTATTACCACCAAAGGAAATGCAGTGAAGCCAAACTGTATACAAGATGTAAATTACCTTGAATTACTTAATAGGGGAGCCTCATTAGGAATAACAAAATACACTAACATCTTCCAGATTGACTTGGAATTCACAAAACAATTAATTGAGAGTTTAGACACATGTAGCTTCATTACTTTCAATTACATTCAGGGAGCAACACCTGGGTGGGAGCCAAGGCGGAGAGGCCAGGTCAGGCTGGCAAGAATGTGAGTTCTTGTTAATTACCGAAGCACTGCGTTCAATCTGCTCTGTTTTGCCACTAGAGTCCTGCTCTCTCCCTCCTTACCTGTTTCTTGTCCCTAAAGTTAGGATGATTACAACCTGTCTTAAGTTCCTCATATAGTTAAATGGAAGGCAAGACCAAAGAAGTCAATGGAAAAGGTAAAAATAAATCTCACTGTCTTATCATTGTTTCTACTTACATAATATATGCAAGAGCAAAAGTATTTATCCTGTCTCTAAAAGGATCCGATCTTTTATGCGACCTTAGTCAATTACGACAGTATCAGTGAAGTTACATAATAGTTCCCGGTTTCACTACTCCAAGGGTGATAAGTGAATTCGAATTCAGTTTCCCACAACAAATGAATAAAGCAAGTATATAGGCTCAAAGTCGGGAGTTGTAGAACCATAAACCATTAGGTAACAAATCAGGATGCACCAGGAGAACTTCTAGCAGGTGGAAATCCATTCATGGTGATCAGATACACAGTGTTTAAATCAGGATATAATTTCCCCAACCTGCTAATAATATTTGTATCCTTGGTGGTGTTGAAGGTCTTTCCAGCTTGTTTTCTTATGCCAAGGTGTTACAGGATAGCTTAGTGCTTTGTATCCTCAAAGCAATTGTGCCAATGGAAGTTTTTTATTCTCCCAAGTTCCTACGATTAAAAGTTTGATCTCTAGTTGCAACTTTCATCAAGGCCAAATAAATAATTGGGGATTTAGAACTTTTTATTTCCTCATTTATTGTAGATCCTTCAAGCTGTGAGCAACAGAAAACCCATCTGGAATAAGTAAAACCAAGGACTTTGTTGGCTCAATTAAAAAAAAGTCTACCAGTCATGGTGGCTCACTCCAGAAGTTCCAGACCACCCTGGAACTTCTGAGCTACGGTGATTTGCCCACCTCAGCTTCCCAAGACATTGAGATTACAGCCATGAGCCACCAGGCCCGGCCAACTTGACTTTATTTACTTGTTGTTGTTCTTGTATTATTATTTAATTATTTGAGGTGGAGTCTTGATCTGTTGCCCTGGCTGGAGTGCAGTGGTGCAATCCCGGCTCACTTCAGCCTCCACCTCCCAGGTTCAAGGGATTCTCCTGCCTCAGCCTCCCCAGTAGCTGGGATTACAGGCGTTTGCCACCACACCCAGCTAATTTTTGCATTTTTAGTAGAGACAGGATTTCCCACGTTGGTCAGGCTGGTCTCAAACTCCTGGCCTCGGGTGATCCACCCGCCTCAGCCTCCCAAAGTGCTGGGATTACAGGTGTGAGCCACCGCACCCGCCAACTTGAGTTTAATGCATGCACAGAAGTCCTGGAATTGAATCATGGGCCTGTCCTGGGTCACACATACACCATTGAACCCGGTTGCTGTACTGAAGAGGATTTAATTCTCTGCTCATCCAGGCCTGATCACCAGCTCAAGCTGGAGTCTGATTGACGTCAACACCCCCCTGAACCATGGGAAATGAGAGCTGAGGGGGTGGTTCCCTGAGGAAAATAAGGTTTGTAAACCAGAAGGTAGGAATAGATGCTGGGCAGGTAGCAAACAGAATTCCTTGCACGTGATGATAAGCGTGAACGTGGCATTGCTGTGCCTCTTGCCACACTGGACTCGCCCTGCATTATAGTTCTTTGTTCTTCTTTCCCCTCCGTAGGGTTAGAAATAGTGTCTAATTGATTTCCGAATCCCTGCCTTCCCTTCTCTCTGGCTTCATCTTCAGTGCCTAGAAAGACCTTTTATTCAGGAAGTATTTGTTGTTTGGTGAATGAATTTCTTGTTTGTATACATGTATTTATGACAAGTAATTTTACATGTGTTAAAAATGAAGCAAAAATGTGGCTGGGTGTGA